CTAGTCATTGCTCAGTAGGGTCCCACTCACAGCAGGTGCAGTGACGGCACCCTCAGGAAGCTTCCGGCCTTCAGCTGGGTGACTCCAGTTCTAACAAGTGAGCTGGGGACATGAGCCGGGTGTGAGGAGAACACCCCTCCAGGGCGCCAGTCTCATCTCAGAGCCGTCTCTTGTCTGGGGACCCTGGCATGCTGCCTGACCCCGGGTGTATGTATGTATCTCCCCTGCATCCCAGGGGAGACAGGCATTTACCCTCCTCGTTTGGCAAGGATCCTAGCAGCGCTCAGCCCACCCCACGGCTTTCCCTCCTCCCATGCTGCCCCTGCCCTTTGGAATTTCCCTTCTTCTCCCCTCCAAATCCCAGCAGCCCCCTTTCGAGCATCCCAACATCCTTTGCTGCCCCCTCCCAAGGTCCTGACAAGGCCCTGTTTCCTTGGGGACCCGGCACCCCTCCCCCAGCCCCTGGGGTCCCAGGACTCCCATCCTCAGCCACAGACCCCCAGAGGGCCTGACACTCACAGCGACAGCAGGCTCGGGGAGAAGCTCTCTGGCAGGTCCGGGGAGCCCTCACACAGGGCACTGTCTTTGGAGCAGGAGCATCTCAGAGGACACTTTCCCTTTGGGGGTCTCCAGGCCTCGCCCACCCCCGCCCCAGCCAGCAGCAGCAGCAGCAGCAGCAGCAGCAGAATTCCTGCCCCTCCCATGCCCCCTGACCCCCGCCGAGGCACCGGCTTCCCTCTGCCCACCCAACCTGGCCCGGGCGTGGCCACTACATCTCCCACGCCGGGCACCCCTCCATGCCGCCAGCTGGCACACTGTGCCCTGGCTTCTCTCTCCTCTTTCTCGGTCTCTCTTCGGTCTGTCTCCTGGGTGTCTGATTTTCTGTTTATTTCTCTTTCCCTGTCTTTCTCTCCCCCTTTTTGTATTTCTGACTCTTTGAGCTAGTCTGTTTCCCACTCTCTACCTCTGTCTCTCTTTATTTCTATCTGAATTGTCTCTATTTCTCTTTTTCTCTGTTTCTTTCTGTCTCTCTCTGTTGGCCTCTCTTTCTATGTGTGTGTGTGTGTGTGTGTGAGAGAGAGAGTCTTCCTCTGTCTGGTGTCTTTATTTCTGTCTTCCTACCCCCCCTCCCTCCAGATCCCTGGAAGTTTCTTCCCTTCCTCCCACGTCCCTTCTCCCAGGAGGTTTGGGAAAGGGACTCACTAGGCACGGGGTGCGCCAGGCAAAGCAGGGAAAGGAGGAGGAGTGGTGGGGGGGGGGTCAGAGGCCATAGGAAGAGCAGTCCTGGGGAAGGGACTGAGGGCCCCATGGGAGGGGAGGGGCCACTGAGGGCTGGAGCTGCCCTGGCCCCTCCCAGCCAACCCCCTCCCCAGATTCCCCACTCACTAGTGTGAGGAGGATGTCACCAGGGTGGGGACCGGATGACTCTGCAGGCAGGAGGAGGGAGGGCGGAGAGACCACTAAGCGCTGGAGCCCTCCTGGCCACGCCCAGCCAGCCCCCTCCAGCCCCCTCCCCTGGCTCCGGGAGGGTGTGGTGGGCACTGGCGCGGAGACTTGAAGGGACCAGCTCAGGTCTAGGTGCGCCCTCTGGTGGCTACACTCGTCAGGGCAGCTGCCCTGCCCCAAACCCACAACCTTCCTTGCCTACCCGAAATTAACCCCTTGAGTGTCCACCATCCACTGGGGGTAGGGAGCCAACCCAAGGGATAAAGGATGATGAAGATGCCACCTTTTTCTTCAGCATTTTGACTCTGTACCACGCCTTGCCCTACAAGTTCATCTGTTAGCTCATGCTGACCTCACCCCAGCCCTCTGAGGTTGGTACTATCATTTGGCTATTTTACAGATGGAGAGAGGTCCAGTTGTTTGGGATCTAGGTTTTCTGGCTGGGTCCCAGGCAGCCGGTTCCACAGGGTCTCTGCCTGATTTTCATTCCTTCTTTGGAGATCAGAACCCGTAGCTATTGGCTGTTTTCAGTTGGATTTAGCAGTTTGGATAGAGCCTGTCCATTAAATAAGAAAAATAAATAAATGACTCTTGTCACCGAACATGAAATAAGAGTAATAATACTCATTGAGCACTTGCTGTGCACCAGTCCTGACATGAATTTTCTCAGTCCTCACAACAACCTGGTGAGGTGGGTAGAATCATTCATTCCCACTTTACAGATAGGAAAACTAAGGCCTGAGGAGGTTAAATGATTCATTTCATGGTGCTGGGCAGATCTAAGCCTACCAACCCCCTGCCAGCACACTTGGAGGACACTGGGCTTCACAGGCAGGGTCACTCAGATCTGGGGGCCAGGCCCAGTTCTCTGTGGCCTCAGGAAAGACATTAGACCTCCTCAATCCTCAGTTTGCCCATCTGTCAAGTAGAGCAATCATGACACCCACTTCTTGGGTGTGTAGAGAACTCAGTGAGAGAAGATGGAGGCAAAGCCCCTGCCTGGGGGTTCAGGGCAGGATGGGCACCCAACAGCTGGGGGTGGATTCTGGACCCAAGCACTTGTCCTGCACCCGAGCAGCTCTGTGATTTCAGCAAGGCCATTCGGGTCCCAGTGACCTCAGCTATAAAGCGGGGTTGGTAACCTTCTTTACAGGGTCTTTGAAAAGATGGATAAAGAGCTTAGGGCCAGGGACACAGTGGGGAGACAGGCCTAAATCCTTACTCCCAGAGTGCCCAGCCCCACAGGCTTCTCCCTTATGTTCACGATGAGAAGGATGACAAGGAAGAGAAAGATGAGAGAGCTAAGTTGGGGTTTTTTTGGCGCTGACCACGTGCCAGGTTTTGTTCTGAACATTTTCCAAGGATTGTTTCAGACAATCATCTCGACTGCCCTCTGAGGCTAATTCTATTAGAGCCGCAGAGAGGTTAAATCACTGGTGCATCACCAGCTACAAAGAAGCTGGGCCTCTCCACCCTGGAGCAGCTGGCCCTGTGAGGGGCAGAAGCCGAGGACCGGCTAGAGCTGGCCAGGTGCCCCTCCCTGCTTGCCCCTGGCTCCTCCATCCCCACTCCAGGGATACGCAAACAGCAGGGTTATCATTAACCAGGGACTGCTGGTGACCCTGGGGTACAGGGTCACAAGGGGCAGAAGCTCCGACAGACAGGGATGAGGGAGCCCTCTGAAGCCACCGGGGCCCTCTGAGGCCACAGGCGCACACGTGTGTGGGTGTCAGGACCACCTGTGCCGAGCGTGAGTGCGCCACCTGCCCCTGGTCTGTGTGGTGTCTGGGCTCAGGTCTCTTTCAGGCGGGGGTGGTCTCTGTCCTTAACGACCAGAGGGACCTTGTGAGAATTATCCCCACTTTGCTAAACTTCGCATATCTCTAAAATGGAGTTAATGATAAGACAGTGTTGGGTTCAGAGACCTCTGAGCCGGGCCCAGGGTGACAGGCATGTCCTTAATAATTTCTCTGTTTTCTAGGATGGAAACCTAGGGCACAGAGAGGTCTTGAGGACCACTTAAGTTCCCACAGCGGGGCGTGGCAGAGCCCAGAGCTGCTCCTCAGTTTCTCTGTCACCAGTGCCTGTGAACCTGATCTGCCCATGAGGACGCCAGGTGCGTTGTCCTCCAGGGGGCCACATGAGCTCAGGGACAGGGAGGTTCTGGATGAAACACATCGACACCTGTTTAGGGTGCCTCCAAGCGTGTGAACACAGCGTGTAGGCCTGTCTGTGACTGTGTGTCCATCTGCAGGTGCCTGAGGGTGTGAACAGGAGCGTGTGTGTGTTTCTGGTTATGAAACCACAGCATGGCTGGTTGTATGGCTGTGTGCTTCTCTGTGCAGTCACATAAACGTGTGCGTGGGGCTGGTTACGAATGTACACAGTCAGTGTGGCTTCACGTGCCTGCAACTGTGTAGGAGGGCTGGCTCTGTCAGTGCTTCTGAATGTGTTTGTGTGTGTGTGTGTGTGTGTGTGTGTGTGAGTGAGTTTGTTTCTACACACATCTGTCAATATGGTCCTCACAAGAGTGTGTACCTTTTGACCATTTGTAAGAATGGCCAGTAGTGTTCCTGTGTCTTTGTGTTTCCGTACGGGCATCCAACTGAATGAGTATGTGTGTTATTCCGAGTTTGTATGTATGTACATACATGTATTTGTCTTGCTTTGTGCCTGTTTATCTGGGTTTTTGGCTTTCTGTGTGTGTGTGTGTGTGTGTGTTTGCAACCCTGGGGACCTCACAACCAGCAGCAGACAACATAAACACACACTGAAATGCCCCCAAAACAGCCCTGGGGTACTGCCGAGGGCTTTGCAGAACCCTGGGGTCATGGTCAGTGGACTCCTAAGCATTCAGGCCGGGCGACCTTCAGCCCAGGCTGGGCCCAATTTCCAGGGAGCAGTGCAGAAGATCACTGACACCCACTGTCCTGTCCCAGCTCAGAAGGTCTCCGAGGTGTGCCTGAGGCTCACCTGTGAGTGTGTCTATGTGTGCATGTGTGCCTGTGTGCCTGTGTGCCTGTAATCCAGTGCTCCCTGCCAGCATCTCCTTTCCCCAGCTTTCCTGGATGCTGGCTGCCTACTGTTCCTCCATCTGAGCTGAGAGAGTTAACCTAGCGGGCCAGGGCGGTCTGGGCTGGGGGCCGCCCCCTGGCCCCCCTCCAGCCCGGCTCCAGTTACAGCTGCTGGTTGGGGAGGGTGAGGGTGGGGTGGGGCTGGGAGGGGAGACCGCTGAGGGCGGCGAGTCCAGCTCTGGGCCAGGGGGTCCAAAGTGCTCGCCCCGGGGCACAGCCGGACGTTTGGGGGCCTCCTTTCGGCAGGGGACAGCCTGACTGGGGTGAGCGTCCCCGCCCCTCCCCTCCAGGCCTCACCCCTGGCCTGGCTGGGCCGCCTCTTTTGGGAGCAGGAGTGGCTTCCCGGGCAGGCAGGCCAGACCCGAGAGGAAGGGAGTGTGGTTGGGACATTGGGGTTCCCCCAGGGGTGGGAGCAGGGGTGTGCAGCTCTTCACTTCTCCCACTGCTGCGTGTGCACCCTGGCTGCTGTGGGTTCTGGACACTCATGTGTGTAGGTCAGGTTGCGTCACTGTTTAGGGGCACGGGAGGCCCAGATGAGGAGGAACCGTGCCTACGTCTCCACTCCACGCCCTGCTCCAAACAGCAGTTTGGGGAGTGGGCGCCGTCTCCATCCCAAGCCCCACTATGTGCACGTGCGTGTGCGCATGCGTGCGTCCCTGCCCCTGGCGTCTGTCTTCTGTCTCTCAGCCCCGCTGGCCGGGGCCTCATGTCACTCGATTGGTGGTGTCCGCTTGTGAGAGATGTCACCCGGAGACAGGCGAAGGGGACGTTTTCCCTGTTTTCATTGCTTCCAGGAGGGAGAAGGGTGGCCTTTCCCACGGGGGCAGCCTGGGGCGATGTGGCAGCCCGGCCTCACCCCAGCAGGGTTGTGCATGACCCCCGAGTGAGGGAAGAAAGGCTGTTGCCATGGTGGCCTGTGCGAGGCAAATTCCTCCAGGGTGAAGTGGGAGATATTTATACCCAGGGTCAGGCCGAGAGCCGGCCAGCCGCCGAGGGCAGAAGAGCTGGGATATTACAGACAGCAAGGCCGTGGTGTGCAGGCAGGTGGACCCTTGGGCATGTCCTGGCTGTCTCGTCCCAGGCAGCATGTCTGTGTCTCCACCTGGGTGGGGTGAGGCATCCTGCTTTCCCCGCCGGGTTAGGCGTGGAGAGTCTGGGGCCTGTGGTGGGGGAGGCCCTGGCCTGTGGGAGATCCCTGTGGACTGTGTGTCTCACCCCTGTCCTTGCTGCTGTGTGACTCCCACTGTGTGAGTTATTTTGGTGACATTATGCCCCTGTTTCTCGGGGTGACCAAGCTGGATGATGGATGCTTTTGGAATTAAGTCCCTGGACTGTCCCTGACTTAACCCCTTGGGCTCAGGCCCCAGTGGTAGGGGAACAAGGGGACACATTTCCTGACCCTTGGTGTCCCCCAGGACAATGGCCTCTCTCAGCCACATCTTGGTTCTCTGTGTGGGTCTCCTCGGCATGGTCAATGCAGGTGAGTCTAGGGGAGGCAGCCCACTACTCACTTCAGCCCCAAGGGTGGCAAAGGTAGGGGAACCCTGCAAGAGAAACAAATTGGAGAAGCCAATCTCAACTGAATCAGCTGGGGCACCAGGAAATTGAGGTCTTACATAGGGTCCAGTCACAGGCTAGTATCTGGGGGAGGGGAGAGGATGGCCCAGGTCAGGCAAAGATGAAGGTTGGGTGGAGACTGGCTTCCCATGAATGATGGAATCACAGACAACCTGTAATAAGATGGGCAGCTGAGGCAGTCAGGTCCTCCCTGCCCCGGTCAGGACAGCACAGAGGGCCATCCAAGACGCAGAGAGGGTGGGCAGCCTGCTTGCGGCCCGAAAGTCCCCAGACTCTAGGCTCAGGAATTGAAAGTCCCAAAAGGATCTCCTTCCGCCCCTCCCTGTCCAGGATACCAGGAAGCATCCAACCCTGATTTCTCTCTCTCTTTCCAGACTCTCCACAGGAACACGACCCATTCACCTATGGTGAGGGCAGGAGAGGCATCTTTCCTTGGGAGCTGGGGGTGCTGGGCTGGGTTAGCCTGTCCTCTCCTCATTCCTCCTCAACCCCCATCTTTTTCTGTTTCTGGCTCCATCTACCTCTAGACTCTCAGTGTTTATATCTCTCTCATTCTCTCTTTCTGTTGATCTGGCTCTCTGACTCTTTCTGTCTTGATCTCCCTTTGGTTCTCTCTGTCTCTCTGTGGGTCTCTGTCTCTTTATTTGATCCCTCTCTGTCTTTCTGATTCTCTCTTTCTCCCTTTACTTCTCAATATCTGATGACCCATCCTCTGCTGCTGCCTGCTTTTCTCCCTTCCCTGTCCCCTTCATCCTCTCCATCATCCTCCCCTACTCCCTTGTTTCCTCCCTCCCCCATGCCCTGCCCATCTCCCCCCTTCCTTTTTTTTACACCCTCTCTTCTCCCTGGTCCCCCTCTCCCATTTCTCCCCCTCCTCCTCTCATTGATCTCCTTTCTCCTCTCCTCTTCCCTGGTCCTTCCTCCTCACCAGTCTGCCTCTCTCCTATCCTTCCTCCTTCCTTCTCTGCATTCACTCTCCTTCCTGCTGCCCACAGACTACCAGTCCCTGCGGATCGGAGGCCTCATCATCGCCGGGATTCTCTTCATCCTGGGCATTCTCATCGTCCTGAGTGGGTATCCCCACCGTGCCGCCAGCCACTCATCTGCGACCTCAGCCCTGCACCTGTTCCTGCCCCGCCCTCGGCCCCACCCCTGCCCCGCCCCTTCACCGCCCCGTTTCTATCCCCGCCCTCGGCCCCGCCCCCGCTCCTGCCCCACCCTTATCCCCAAGGCTCCGCGCACTGCGAGAGAGAGCTGAAGCAGGAGCTCCTCGCCGTGCGGCGCAGAGCGGAATATCAGCCCTCTCCTCCCCACATCCCCACCCACAGGCAGAAGATGCCGGTGCAAATTCAACCAGCAGCAGAGGTAAGAGGCCTCTCTGGGCTCTCACTCACCTACTCCCTACAGGGGCTCTGGGGGTGAGGCCGGAAGTCCACTCAATCTACAACCAGAGACCCTACGGCAAATATCAAATATGTATTAAGCACCTACTACGTGCCCAGCCCCACGCCAAGCCCTGGGACCAAGCCGCGAATTAACTGCCCTCTCTTCCTGGCTGAGCTCCCAGCCCAGTGGGGGCGGTGGCTATGGGTTCCAACAGACCCACAAATATGAAATCACGAAGTGTGATAAGTGCTGTGAAAGAAAGCCGCGGCGAAATGAGATCACCTCACTTGGCGGCCCAGTTTAGCTCGGAGTGCTGTTCCTAGCTCTTTGATTCATCTTTAAATAAAATTTTAAAGCCCAGGCAATGTATGAATACCTTTTCCGTGTTAAGATACTTGTAGATGTTATAAATAAAGGTAGGTTTTATTAGGTGTGTCCCACGTGCAGGATGCTGTTTCATTGTGTGTTATTTACCCCCCTCCCCGCCCACACCACCTCTATAAGGTAGGTGATATTAACCTCATTTTACAGAAGAGGAAACCAAGACACAGGGGGGTGATCGCATGCCCCCACCCAAGTCACTCAACTAGAAGATGAGGGTTCTGGGTTTCTAACCTAGGGCATTTTTAGGCAATCTGCCCTGAAGTCGCTTTGGCTATCCCTCCCCCTCCAAATTCCAGTTCCTTCTCCAGCACTCTGGGAGGTGCTGGAGCTTGGAGCGTCTCCTGCCACACGCTTAAACTGCTCCTGGGTGCTCTAGATTTCCTGGTGGCCACGAGCTTGCTCCTCTCCCACCTCTGGGTCTTGGTACACTGGACTGTTAAATGGGGGCTGCACTGAAGTTTCCTGGGAGCGGCTGCCTCTCCCCTTTTCCATCCCCAATTCCTTCTGCATCTCCTTTCCCAGGACTGGGGAACCTGATGAAGAGGAGGGAACTTTCCGCAGCTCCATCCGCCGTGAGTTTGGGGAGACTTCGGGTGTTTGGGGGTGTGAGCTGGTTTCAAGAACCCCTTTCCTGGTCCTCCCTGGGCGCGTAGAGGGAGGGGCTTGATCTGAAACCCGAGGTCGAAGAGTTGCCCTGCCTTGCCCCCATCTTCCAGAGGAGCTGGGAGTGCCCTTCCTAACACTCGAACTCTACGTGTTCCCCCTCAGGTCTGTCCACTCGCAGGCGGTAGAAACACCTGGCGCAATGGAACCCAGCCAGGTCCTGCATCTCTGACTAGGCTGGGGGAGGGAGAAGAAGGAGGGGGTGAAGGGCTGCAGTAGGGGGGTCTGGAAGGTTCTCCTGCTTCTCACCCTTTTCACCCCCCATAGGATTCCCCCTGCTCCTGACGCCTTCCACCCACCTCCCGCCTACCGCCACCTGGACTGCCCTTTGCCTCAGCCCTGCCCCTACAGACACCTCTCTGCCGCCCAGATTTCCAATAAAATGTGCTTTCCTCTCTTGGCAGCGCTGTGTAGATCTGTCAGTCCTTCCGCGCGGAAGGCCTGGGGGCCCCCTCGGTCCCGACGCCGACGGGGGCGCCCCCGACCCCGTTCGC